GCCAGCAGGCTCCTGGCCGCCGCTTCCCACTTTCCTGGATCCCCAGCCGGTCCCAGCAGGTGAGCGGGGTGGGAAGGGGCAAGGTCCCGCTCCTGTCCTAGCCAGGCGTCGAGCGCTGGCTCCGCTCGCGGCCTGCCCTTCTCGCTCCCACCAAGCTCAACGTGCTCAGCCACTTTTCTGTTTAACGCAGCCCTGCTCATGTGATGCGCACCACCGTTCAGAAGTGACGTTCACAGATTTTGGCTTTTGGCTGCTTTGGGAGGGAAGCAGGAAGAAACTGAGAGACGTGTCAGATCTGCTGACTTCTGCATGGTTGCCCAAGTGCAGCAAAACTGAAGTGTGAGACTGCCGCCCTTGAAGCATCACACAGCTGCTGGATTGCACCCTAGGCAGGGGGCAAAAAAGTAGGCTGGACCCAGATTGCTAAGGGATTCGAACAACATCAGCCTCATGTGATGCACCTAGAATGCCAAAAAAAGTCAACAATGCTCCCAGTGAGCTCTCCAAAACAAGGCAGCCCTGCGAATGCATTAGATATTCCTCTGTCTAGGCATGTGCTAGTTTGTATACAAGGGCCACATGCTATAAAGTTTCTAGAAGTTGCCCAGCAAAACTAGATGGTCACAATAGTGAGTTTAAAAGAGCTTTACTAAACTCTGAAACATGTAATCAGTGAAAAGATGAAAAGCAATACAGTACAAATAATAGCTAAAGAAACCACACACTATTTCAGTGTAACATTCACTGCAAAAAACTGAAGAGAGCATAGGCCTCACCTACACCTCAGAGACTAAATGCTATGAAAGTGCTGGTGCATCTACAGGTGTGAACACTAGCAGGAACCAAAGTTTAGTAAAAGAACAGCATTAGACCAGAGCCCTTCTTTTACTACCCTTTCATTATGTAAATTAGGTTACTCTATGTCAGGAAACTGGATACAGCAATGTTGTTTTTCTCAAGTTTGCTTTTGTTAACCAAGCTGATGGAAAATCCTACCTCATCTCTGACTTCTGATGCCTCCTATTATTTTTTCCTATGTATTAGCTGAAAATGCAGTGCAATTTTCATCAGTATAGGCTGGTATTGTCCAGAACACTTTTTCTCCTGTCCTTACAAGCTCCTCCTACCTCTATATAGTTAAACTGTTCCTTATACTATCTTACTATAGAAGCATATTGAGTCCTCTTAGGGAAGGCCTATTTGGGAGGTCTAAACTGACAAACATTAAAACCCTGGATGTGGACACCTCCCTGTTGAGGTCCAGCCGTAGAAAAGCAGCCTGTGCCTGCCAAAAGCCCAGTGGGATGGAGTCTGAAGGCCTTCTTTGC